CCCCATGTCAACCTCCTAGATCAGAAACTCGGGGGAAGTGTTCCCTACCCCCTCCCCGCCCCCATCCCTCACTCTGTCTGAACAAGCCCTCCAGGGATCATGGTGCACACTGAGTTTGAGAGCCACTTATTCCTCATCCTCAACAACCCCTTGAGGATGCGTAGTGTTATGTCCCTGTTGTGTAGGTTGAGGGGGTTCAAGTACAGAGATGTTGAACAACTTCTCCGTATGCTATTCAGGCATTCAGTAAGCAGCGTCCATTCACTAGGGGCACCTTCTTGCTCTCGTTGGATGCTCACAGTGACCCAGCGCAGTGCCCATTTTTAATCTCCATTTTATAGGCAAGCCGGGAAGGCCCAGGGACATGAAGCGATGTTCCACGGTCACATACATAGCAGCAGCTCAGCTTTGACGTGGCAGCTCAAACCGGATCTCTTCACTCTGGTTGGGTTTTCCCCACAAAGCCACCCCCGCCTCTGTCCCTGGCTGTGTGCTTCTCCCCAGCCGCCTGTCCCCTGGGAGGCCTGCCTCCCCTCCCCTCGTCCCCAGCATGGAGGTCTGCCGCTGTCCTGCCGCTGAGCCTGACTTTTCACAGCACAGGTACTGGTGCTGCAATGGGTTTCCCCTCTCTCCTTGCCGGCAGTGTCCCCGACAGGACGTGCTCGCACTCAGTTGTGCCCCAGACAGAGTGCCTCGCAGGGAGTACCAGGCCCTCTGGGTCCTGTGGCTCCTAGCGTTCCTGGGGGCAGCACAGCTGGGCACAGCACTGATTACTTGTGCCAGGCTCACACCTTGCCTGCCATCCCTTAGTTTCTTCTGGATTTCTTTTGGGACTCTTTTTTCCCCCTGCATCCCTATTTGAAAAAAACCCCGTGGGGATTTTTCTTGTGTGTGTTGGGGTGGGGGCAGGGGGGTGCGGAACACAGAGAATGTTCTTTTTCTGGTTCCGGTGAAGGCTAACAAGCAGAGAGCTACAAATCCCAGCTGGCCCTGAATGTCAGGAGTGACGGTTGCCCTGGTGGAGTCACTGGAATACCCTCTCCTCCCTGCCGATCCCTGGCATCCTCTTGGTCTAGGTGGCTCAGGCTACTCTGGCTTGCAAGGACACTGAGCTCGCCGGTCTGCGGAGCCTTCCCGGTCTCTGATGGGGTTGTCTGGGTAGCGGTCGTTCTCCCTCTTCACTTGGCCCTGGGGGACTGATTCACGTTTCTGTCTTCTGAGCACAACACAGGGCCTGGCACATTAGGGACTCCAGAAACGCCTGTGTCAGGCCTGGATCCTTCTTCCAAGTCCTAGAAGTAAACATCACCCACTTGGCCCTAGTTGTCTACGTCATGTCTTCAGGTACAGCTCGTGGATGTGTGCTGAGCACCAGGGTCAGGACTGGAGGGAGTGAGCAGGATGCTCTGTGGGCTTCCTTAGAAAGAACCTGTGGTTCATGTGTCTGAGAACTTTGTCAAGCTGCTTAAAATTTATAAACACAACTCACACATTCTCCAGTGTAATTCTGTCGGTGCTCTCCTGCCTCGTTTCACCTTCGGGATCAGCAGTTTATCTCTGAATGCCTCAGAGCCACCTGTGCTTCCCTTCCAGCCACCAGGACTGATGCAGGGCTAAGGAAGGGTCACTGGAACTGGTCAGGCCCTAGAAGGAAACTGATGGCACACACAGACGAGCTGGGAAGGGTTTGAGGCAGGGCCACAGGCATGGGAGCCAGTGAGGGTGGTGGAGCGCCCTAGAGAGAGTCACTACAACCCCTGGGCCCATAGGGCACGAGGCAGGTGGCCTTAAGGAGCCCAAGAGAGCCAGAACTCTGGGAGAGGGTTTCTGAAAGGCGCAGGGGATCTGACCTCTCTTTCCACCTGCCATCAGGCCTCCCAGTGACCAAACTCAACCAGAAACCCGAGGCAATGGGAGCCCAGTTATTCATTCTGTAAAGTCAGGAGCTCAGGCATGGAGCAAATTAGGGGTACCTGTTTGGGGCAGGAGTGAATTGGAAGAAGAGTGAGTTTGGAGGAGCAGGTAACATCATCACCCCCGACCCCCATCCAAGCTTTGTGACCAGTAAAGGCAAGTATGACATCCATATAAAATATAAGGAATTCTTGTGAGGGGACAGTGGTCACTGAATCTGATATTCAGACCCGTCACTCTGATGAGAGGAATGTCCCAGTAGTTGTGGCCATTGGTCGGTCCTCTTTAAGTCACTACATTCAAACACTTAAAACCTGGACTTCGTAGCTTCCGAACCAAGTTATCATGGTGAGACCATATTTGTGACTCTGCTCTTTCAAGGAGCGTTCATCCCTGTCCCCTGTTCACTCCGAACCCCAGCCCCCGACCCATTCTTGGCATTCACTCCCGGCCCCACAAAAAGTTGGGACCATCCAGAACTCCAAGGCATGTTCACGGCACTCCCGATTTTCTGCATTCCCGGGGAACAGGGCCTGGGCTCTGCGGCTCCAGATGATGAATTTATTCATGGTGGCAGGTGTATTGGACGAAACTGAAGAGTTTGGAAAATTATGTAAAATGTTTGCGAATGTGCACACTTGTGCTTACATCTAATGGGCCCATTTTCAAAAGCCCCTGAACCCTGAAGCCCAGACAAAGTTTGATATCTGGGAGGCCGTGTGTTTAAATATTTGTGATTCCAAAGAGCCTGATTCAGCTTTTATGCATTCTTGTCCCCTTCCTGGCTATGTCTCCCACGTGTAGGCGTTTTCCTATTCATTTCCTTCGTGATTTAAATGGTAACAGTGGCATTCCGCTTTACAGTCTCTCATGCTGAGTCTTTGGGAGATGATATCCAGAGATAAGCGATGGTGTCTTCGTTTTACAGGTGGAGAAATTAAGATATGCATAATATGGTCTAATTATTTTTTTAATTTTTTAATTTATTTATTTGAGAGAGAGAATGAGAGAGAGGGCATGAGATGGGGGAGGGTCAAAGGGAGAAGTAGACTCCCTGCCAAGCAGGGATGACCCCCCCACCCCCTGATGCAGAACTCGATCCTGGAACTCCAGGATCATGACCTGAGCCGAAGACAGTTGCTTAACCAACTGAGCCACCCACGCGCCCCAATATGGTCTAATTTTATGTGAGACAAGGTTGGGTTGGTAGCTCGTGGGTCTGAGTTCCCCACACGCCCTCATGCTTCTTTCTGGAAGCTGAATTTCCTCACAACAGCCCTGTGAACTTTGGGGCAGGGTAGTTCTCTATTGTGGGGGCTGCTTTGTGCCTCGTAGGAGGTCGAGCAGCATCTCTGGTCTCTGCCCACTTGATGCCATAGCCCCGCACATCCCCAGGAGTGACCACCAAAAAGGACTCCAGACAGACTTTGTCCGATGTTCTGGGCAGGGCAGGGGGGATGACTTTTGCCTCCTATTGAGAACCACTGGCTTCCAGCAGAGGAATTTTAAATCCTGGCCATCAGAGACTGTGAGTTAATTGGTCTGAGGTGGGGTTGGGGCACAGGGTGTAGTTTAAAAATCTTTCCAGTGTTTCTGGTATGTTATAAGGATGAAGAATCTCTGTTCCAGAGTTTGAATCCCACCTGTCTAAGCCTGAGTAACTTCCCTTGATGATGTTGTGGGTGGGGTGGTGAAGCAGGCCTGGGAGCCAGAGGTCATTGTCCTGAAAGCCTGTAGGGGAGAGGCCAGGATATCAGAACTGCATTTTTCTTCCCTTCCCTTCCCTCCCCTTCCCTCCCCTTCCCTCCCCCTTTTTTTTACTTTTTACTTTAAAGTAATTCTAGACTCCTAGGGAGTCGCAAAAGCGGTGCATAGAGTCAACAGAACTGTGTTTTGAACTGGCTGATTAGAATAACAGAGGTCCAGAAGCTGTGCCATTGGGAACCAAGGCTGTGAGTAGTTTCATTAGGTATTGGGTGCTGGAGGGAAAGTACTTGTTCTGCAGTCCTCCCAGGACAGAGCAAGGTGGGGTGGGTATTAGGCTGGTTTCAAGTCAAGGAAGGCTGCACATCAGTAAAAGATACATCGAGAGGTGTGAACCTTTCATTCTTGGAGCTGTTTTGAGAGGCTGGATGACTTTCTGTATGGGCTGCACTAGACCAGGGCTTCTCAATCTCTGTCAAGTTGCTGAAGCTCAGAGGGTAGCCCAGCCTGAGGGAACCAGCCCTGCCTGGTAGCCTTGAGCTCTCGCTTGAAGAGATAAGCGACTTTGTATCCTATAATTCACGTACAGCCCACCGGGGTGCCAAGGGACCTCCCCTTTGGGAGGCTCAGCTCTAGAGATCATCTCTGCTGTGATTGGAAGGCAGTGTGCCGAACACCACATTCTGCTCTTGGTATTATCCCCTTCCGTACTCCATGACCTCCTGCAGGACGTGCCATGGCCCCTGTATTACTGTGAGTCACCTGATGCCACCACTTTCCCATGGTCACCCTGAGCTAAAGGACAGAGTCAGAGGAGATGGGCCATAAGGTTCCCTTTAATTCTGCCAGTCTTCAGTTCCTAGAATGATGTCCCAGCTGGGGCCCTTTTTATAGATGTACCCTTATAGACGTTCCCATTGGTCTCTTGGCCCAATCAGGCACCCTTAATCTGAGACATCTTGCAAGAACATTTCCCACCTCCGAGCCACTGCTTCTCAGTCTAAGACCCCTGACTATCAGTTCTTCCTTTCGGAATGTATTTCTTTCTTCTCTCTTGTCACCCGTTGTCACGGTCTCCCAGCGTGGGAGTAGGAGACTCACCATTTGCCTGTTTGAGCCAATTGCCCTTTCTCTAGTCCCCAAAACGTAATTGCAAAGAGCCTTAACGATTGGTTTCCAAATGATGATTGCTCCATAAACTGATTAAAAGGGCCTTAATAAAACCATCTCAAGTTATTTTCCACAGCTGCAAACTATGCCCTTTGTTTTCTAACGATCCCCATAAGAGATCAGGGTGATTTTTCTTTTCCACATGGTCTGAAGCACCAGGAAGGCCCTCTTCCATCTGTCTGACTTCTTGCCCTGTGTTCTTTGCTTCCCAGACAATCCACGTTGCTATCGTCTGTGCCGGGTATAATGCCAGCCGCGACGTTGTCACCTTGGTCAAGTCTGTCCTGTTTCACAGGTAAGCGTGGCCGTGGTACCCTGTGGGCTGGTGCGTGAGGCTTGGGCGCGCAGCTTGTGCATGTGACTCGTGCATGTGACTTGTGTGTGTGACCGCCAGCCTGCACGCTTCCTCAAGGGCGGGGTATAGAAGAGCAACATTTCTCATCAGTCATTGAAGCTGCCGTGAAAATGTGATTTTTGTCTGAACCCTGGGGGAGATTATTGTGTTAATAATGTTTAACAGAAGCAATGAGGTGTTGTCCCACAATGTTTAGGATTGTAGCTCTTAGACCTAAGGGGACCCTTTAGGGACACTCCAAATTTGAGGCTTCCATTTCTTCCTTGGCCTTCCGTTGCCTGACAGTCACCAGACCCCTCTGTGTACACGCCCCTATTGATAGGTTGTGTGATGGACTGAACAGTATCCCCGTAAAATTGATCTGTTGGAGCCCTCGCCCCTAATAACTCAGAATGCGAACTGTATTTGGAATTGGCCTTTAAAGGGGTAATTCAGTTAAATTGAGGCAATTATGAATGGACTGTCTAATATGACTGGTGTCCTGATAAGGAGGGGAGATTGGGAGACAGCCTCACACAGAGCAAAGACCCATCTCCAAGCCCGGGAGGGAGGCCTCAGGAGAACCCAACCCTGCAGGCACCTGATCTCAGACTTCACCTGCCAGAACCACAGAAACTAGGTTTCTGTTGTTTAAGCACCCCCAGTGTGTGGTATTTTGTTAGGACAGCTCTAGCAAACTGATAGAGGTTGCTTACTCTATTCCAACGTAGCCTGTCCCACGTCTGGGCGTTTCTAACTATCAGAAAGTCCTGTCTTATATTAAACCGAAGTTTTCCAGCCTGTAGCTGCTGTCTGTGGGTCCTAGTGGATTCCCATGGAAACGGCCCTACGAACAATGGGGTCCTTTTCCACCTGGAAGTGATCTGCCTCTCCCGAGTCATCTCTTGTCCAAGTTAAACTCCTGCCACTTGCTTGTTCTTTTTAACAGGGACTTTCTTCTGTTTTCACTGTTCAGCTTGATGGATATCTAGACTTACTGACGGTGTATCCAGAATTGAGTCTGTAGTTCCAGCCAGTGTCCTTGGCTCTGTTCTAACATTCTTACCAAGGGTTTAGATGAAGCTTATTCGTGGCTGTAGCCAAGATCCAGAAGGTTCTGAGCAGTAGGAACAGTGGTGAAAAGCTCTTAGAGCTCAACAAACCAAAGATCACTGTGAAGTTAATGCCCAAATCTAGCGGTCAATGGCCGCAGCAGAGATGGGAGGTGTGGTGGGCACCCAAGACCGGCAGGCCATGCAAGAAACTGACTGACTGTTGGTTCCACTTTCTCTCTCAGACCCCCACCCAGCCCCTCTGTGATGCACTTGGGCGTTTTCCCTCTTCATAGTGTTAATTTCTTCCCTTTCTCTTCATCCCTACTGCACCTGGCACAGTTAAGGTCTGCATGTTCTCTCTCCTCCACCAGGCCTTCCAGTCCCCACAGGGCCAGCCTCCAAGGCCAGGTGGTATTTCAGAAAGGCAAATCTGATGTCTTCAAACCTTTCATTGGCTTCTTGTCATGGAGGGGAGAGAATCGAGTTTTTTTACCATCAGGTTAGAGACCACACAGACCCATCAGGGCCTGCTGTTATTCTCAGCATGCTTTCTCTCTCTTCCCCTTGCTGGGGCTTTACTTTCCAGCAACACTGACCTGCTCATAGGTCACCCTCTTTCACCCTCTCCCGGGTGTGCCCTGCCTGCTGTCGTCCCCATGCCGCTCTGTTTGTCCCTTCCTCACCTCCTCCCTCCTTTTTCCCCCTCCCAACTTTGCAAACTCCTTATCCTTCTAACAGGAGGCCCACCAGTACCGGTCATTCTGGGCTAGGGCTCTGCCTTCTCCCAGCCCACAATACCCTGTGCATCTTTTTATCACTGTACTTAGTACATTGTCCTTTATTTATTCACGTTGTGTCTTCTGTAGTAGAATATGGGACTTCTGGGGACAGAAAGCATGCCTTAGATTTCTGGATTCTCCGTATCTTAGGGAAGGACTTCATAAGTGTTAGATGCTCAGTCAATGTTTACTTGTTTAACTAGTGAATCTGGGAAACTTCATTAATAAATAACCTGAAGATCTATTTATTCAACCAGTTAACGAATAGATCTAGCTCAGACCTGGTTTGATGACACACTCATACCACTCTATACTGAGTGACTTTCAGCAGGTCATTTTAACCCTTTAGACTTTAGTTCTTAGGTCACTTAACTTTTGCTGTGAATCCGTGCACCCCAGAATTTATTAGGTTGAAGACAAAATTTATTTGCTCAGTTGTACTGAACCACCCGGTGGGTCTTTTCCTGGGTGCCCTGCTGTGCTTATAGTCAGCAAGCAGATTTGCTCCCCACCCAGGAGTGGGGGGATTCCCTGCCTCAACCCCCCCCAACCCCAGAGTGGGGAAAGGGGAGAAATGAGTAACCACCAAGTAGAGAACACTGTCAGCTAGTGGTAGGGGCTCTCCGTTCCCTCCTCTTAGCCTGTGCAGTTGGCATTGGGATTTCAGCTGCACGTCTCAGAAGGAAATGTAATACCAAATAAATAATGACGAAGCAGGGCTCAACCTCACGTCTTTGACATAAGGTGAGAAACCCTTTGTTCACCACCACCGCCCCTGTGCCATTTTTGAGACTCCCTGTGGTTCTGCAGCCTTCATCTGCTGTTTGAAACCAGGCATTTTGTCTTCTGAATTAGAGGAGTGGCTCTCAACTTTTTTGTGTTTATTTCTTGTCACCACGAAAGAACTCGATCCCTCCCTGATTGGGGGGGCGCCCCCTTTTTAGAAAAGAGCATGTGCATGATTACAGATAGTCACTTGTGCTGTTTCTCAATTATGGCATATTTTAAAGCCATAAAAATGTTCGGTGTTGTTGGGCATAAATATTATCGCTATTGCTTTAGCTACATATCAAATAATTCCAGTAGTTGCTGAAACCCTGAGGAACCCCATTGAGTGTAAACTTTTACTCCTACAGTCACTGTGTAGCACAAAGATGTTACATTTAAAAATAGCAGGTTTATAACTGGCCCCTGATGGCATGCCATGCTTTTGTGGAGGCGTGGGGAGTTGAGAAGAAAGCAAATTCTTAGTATGCATTAGGAAAATTCTGCACGCCACGTCAGTGACCACTTGATCTTGGTTCAGATGACCACTTCAGTCCCTCCCATCCTTGAAATTCGACAAATGAGAATGTGAATTGATGTACTGGTGATAATGACTTGAGATATCAAGACAAAAGGACTTTTGAAAGACTTTTCGCGCAGAAAGTCTGTCTATAAATAGCTTCGTTGCTTCCGAGGCACGTTATGGGGATTAACCAATACATGATTATAAAATGCTTTGGCAAATGAAGTACCTTTCTAATGTTAATAATAATATAATAATAGTGGTAGGATGCTTCTTTTGGCTTTCACTGTTAATTACAGCAATTAGATTTATTTTCCAGACAGGATTTTCAGCAAATTTTCATTTAAGGCTTGCTTTGTTACATCCAATCCATTTTACTTCTGCAGTATGCCTGGCGACAGTGGGCGCGCTCTAGTTTAAAAGATCGTAAAAGAGTGATCCCAGGCACTCTTATATACTCCTACCAGAGCTGCAAATTGCTATAATCTTTTGGGAAAGAAATGTTATGGTGTTAATGCCCAAGACCTTGACCCCATATGACTACTTCAGGGACTCTGTCTTCAAAGGATAATCCTGACTACCAAAAACGCTTTTATGACATAACTATTTATAATCCTAAAAATTTGAATAATACTTAGAAAACGATAAGACTAAATAATGGAACACCCTTTTGTAGTAAACCATGTTCTTGGTTGGTCTTAAAACATATGTCCTAATGTGGACAAATTATATTTTATGATATAAGTGTCAACACAGTTCAAAACATGTGCATATTATTCCACTGTGTAAGAACAAGCCATGTAAACATGGTCAAAATACCAGTGGCAGAAGGACTGGCAGAGGCCATGTTTAGAAATGGAGTTCTTTGTGTTGTGTTTAGAGAAGGAGAAATAAAGGTGATCTTGCTTTTGTTTTCTCTTTACATGTATTTTTGGTCATCTCATTATGCAACCTCTATAATAAAGAAAAAGGGTAGATGAGAAAAAGTAAATATAAAATATACGTGAAAGAGAGTTTACCTAGCAGAAAAGAGTACATTATGTTCCTGTGTCACCTAGATGGAAGGGTGTTTAAAGAAAAATTGGGGGACAGAACTCCAACTCCATTTGCAGATAAACTGGGAAGTATAGCAGCTCTTCAAGGAAACTGAGCTTTTAGTGAGCAGAGGAAGAAAAAACATTACTTAGCAGCTAGGTGTTTACCTCCTGGACAGGAAGGTGGGCCAGCTTGTAAAAATTTAATATTTGTTTGCGAGGATGATCTACTTATTCTCACACACTACAGCCCTGTTGTCAGGAAGAAACTGGGTGATTTCCCTTACTTTGCATATCAAGCAGCTGGGTTTTTGGTGGGTTTTTTGTTTGTTTGTTTGTTTGTTTGTTTTTTTAAACTTCACTGTGCCCCTGAAGAACATGGAGGATAAAACAGCATATTTGTGCCCAGTATCTGCCTCTGATTGTGTTATTGCTCATTCAGGCTTAAACTTATTATAGAAGCAGTTTCCAGATTGTGATGTGAAGAACCTAGGATTTGAATAAAACAAACAAACAGAAGTAGGTTCTGATTCTGGTCTTACCATCTGTGAGCTGGGCAACCCTAGTGAAGTCTCTGTACTTAGAGGTTTGGCTTGTTCTCTAACCTCTCTTAGAGCCCTGTTGGACTATTATCAGAGGTAATCTATGTGAAACATTTCTGTATTTTGTGTATTGAACAAATACAAACCTAGCTCTCTAAGTGTTTTTCAGATATTAATGCATTTCATGCTCCTGTGACTCCATGAGGTGGGTACTATAATTATCCCCATTTTACAGATGATGAAGCTGAGAATCCGTAGGTTGA